CCAATAATTGTATCAACTTCAAGCATACTACCTTGCAGCAGTGATGGGGTGCAAATGGTGATGAGATGCTGTCAGAAAAAGATACTCTCCCGGCTGTCAATTATTATTATTTGTTAAACAGGGCCATATGTTGCCTCCACTTTGTGGGTGATAGACAACTAAGGTCACATTCACACAATTTCTTTAAAACCCATTTAAAGCCTATGGCTCCCCTCCCCCCAAATCCTGCCAAATAAGCCCATTTATTTATGTATAAAAATACTTATACACCACAATCTTATAACTATCAGAGCGGCTTAAAGCAATTATATGTACAATACTGCTACATAAAACTAAAACCACAGATTACTGGTTCAGTATAGGATCATGATTTCGGTGTCCCCCCACTCCCCAAATTGCCCACCCTGTCCCATTCTGCCCTGCCCCATTCTGCCTCCTTTTGTGACGTTTTTGGGTCACTTCCAGGTTTGGCACGATGCGTGAGTGTGCGGTTGCACAAATATTGGACACACCTAAAATGGGCACTGCCTGTATTTACAATTTCTGTATATGTAATTACATCATCATCTATCCACTTTGATATTTGTCCACTAATTTTAAAACCTTCATTAAAAAGAAAAGATGTGAGCACGGATATCTTAATATTATATTTAGTGTTCTGTTCCAAATATCTAGTACTGTATCTATAGAAGGATTATACAAGGATAACTATACAAGAATTGACCAAAAATTGTTGTTCTTTTCTCTATTTTTACCATACCATGGAATAATTGCTTTTTACACAGCTCTACTCTAATTTATACCATGAAGATAACACTGAGACATTTAGTCATTGGGCTACTACTTATAAACGTGGAACTTTATAACAACCTACTATTTGGGGAAATTTTATTCCTCCTTCATTGTAGCCTTTTCCCAAGGTTGCCATGGGAACTCTAGCTTTTTTTATTATTCCACACAAAATTTGTAAGTAGTTTTTGCCAGTTCAATAATACCGTTTTGTCGATCTTTATCACTGCATTTTCAAATAGAAAAAGTATCTTAGGAATTATATTCATTTTTTGTCTGTCAGAAAAAGCCTTTGAATTATATTCAATTTTAATGCTACAACTTCCAATCTGGGGGCCATTTTTAAAACATATTTTTCCACTGCAACCATCATTGATTAATCATTTAATTTAAATAACTATTCTATGTTTGAAGAAAACAAGATTACTAGATATTTTACTTTCTTAACTGTCCAATTAATTCTGTTTGCTTTCATCAAATTTGCTTTAATTGATCGCAACACATTTATTTCCAGACTTATGTGAGTTCATTTGTAGCCAGAGACTTCACCAAACTTCTCTATTATTTCAAGCACTTTTCTTACAGATTTTAAAGGAGTAGGTAAGCACAGCATTGCATCATCCGCATGCAAACTGATTTTGTAACTTGTAGATTCAGCATGTATCCCAGTCACATCTTTTAATTGTTGAGTGCGTAAGGCAACGCTGATATGGGGCAACCCTGTCTTCTTCCTCTGTTAACTTGGGAAAAAACTGAGTACTGATTATGCATAAAACAGCATGTGATTAATCAAACATAGCTTTAACCATAGTGAAATGGCTTTTCACAGATTTAATTGTTCAGGGACTTTAGAAATAAAATAGCACATTGGCATCACTGGATTTATTGGTATTCTTTCTGTTAATAAAGATTGAAATCTAAGCAGTTTGATCTGGCCAGTAACTCCTTTGTGCCACCTCTGCTATGGATCCAACATAGCATGGTCAACAAAAGAGGTTCAAAGACTCTCTCAAGGCAAAACTAAAAAAATGTAGTATCAACACCGACAACTGGGAAACACTGGCCTGCCAGCGCTTCAATTGGAGAACAGCCTTTACCAAAGGTGTCATGCGTTTTGAAGACACTCGAACGCAGAACGAAAGGGAGAAACATGCTAAAAGGAAGGCACGCTTGGCAAACCCTCACCATGATCAACTCCCACCCGGAAAACTATGTCCCCATTGTGGAAGGACATGTGGATCCAGAATTGGCCTCCACAGTCACTTATGGACTCATTTTTAAAACTGTGTTTATGGAAGACAATCTTACTTGGCTACGAGAAGAAGGATCCTACATAGCCAGGGCCAATGGGCATGACCTTCAGCAGTATGAATAATCTACCTGTGATGTTCCATTATTAGGCTTTAAGTCAAAGGGTTCAGAAGCCATTGCTCCTACTTTACTCTGCTTTAGCTTCAAGCTCTTTGGTTTCTTCTTCCTGTTGCACTCTTGGAATTCTTGGGTTTCCTTTTTGGTGTGATGTTTTCAGACTCTGCAGCATCCTGGGGAGTCTGGCTCCTGTCACCAGTTAGTTCTCTAGTATCTGTAGCAAGTTTCCAATTCAGTGTGAGTCGTCTATCACACTTCAGGGAACAGCTGTAGCTCAGTGGTAGAAACCTGCTTTGCATGCAGAAGATCCTTGGTTCAATTTTCTTGGTATCTCCAGGCTGGGAATGTCTCCTGTGTGAAACCCTGGAGAGCGGCAGTCAGTCAGTATAGAAAGTACTCAACTAGATGGACTAGCGGACAGTACTGTATCAAGGATCTTCCTAGGTGGATAATAAAAGTCTTTAAGTTGAATGCAGTAAGCTTGTGTCTACATTATTTTTAATGGAGCATATGCCCTGCTGTCAACAAATGGAAGAGATGTCAATCTGCAGAGGCCAAGCTGCTGTATAGCTATCTCAACAGACTTCTGTCTCAAGGGTGAGCACTCAAGAAATGCCAATGCAGTGAACCATGGAACAACTATGGTGGTTTCCGGCAGATCTCAGCAGCCATTTCCATCCTGTCTGTAACTATTTCATCACAGCAACTAGTCTAGATGCATTCCAACCCATTAATTGATTTTCCCAGCTGTAATTCTTTGCAATAGGAGAAAAATTGGAGAGGGGAGAGAAGGTCAAGTTAAACAGCTGATGAGCCAGAACAATGGTAGGAAGGAGAGATCATGGTACCTTTTCATAGTAGTCAAGAAAGAACCCAAGAAACTTAGCAACTTGTTGTGCTTGTGTGGGTGAAAGGAAATGGCTTCTACCTCTAGGTTACTATCTCAAGGTGCATTTACCTTGGCTTTCTTCAGTAAAGCGTGTGAGCATAAGAGCATAGGAAGACTTGGGGGAAATAGTGGGTTTTAGGGTTACAACTCCCTTTCCAAAGTTAGGCAGCTTTCTAGCTGTCTCCTGGGTTGTTTTACTATACAAACCACAACCAGCAAATTTGTATCTATGGCTACAGATTATGTTTAAGTGAATTCGTTGGGAGTGAACAAAGTGTGATTCCTGAATGTGTCAGGATGCTGTCAGAAGCCCCTGGCTGGTTGCCCAGGAAAATATAAAGACAAGGAAAAGTTTCTTACAGCCCTTTTTTATTTCAGACTTTACAGACAGAGGCTATAGAATCCAACCACTTGAATAATGGTATTGTCCCAAGTGAATTTCCACCCCCCACCCCTTATCTCCCACTTTCTCATTTGTCATCATCATCCTCTATGGGTGCCGCTAAGGGCCCTCTGTCTTCGAGCTCTTTGCTCTCCTGCTTTTAAGGCTCACCGGGTTCCGAGAGATGGTGGGTCTGGAATGCTTTCCAGTGTCAAGGTGTCAGCCATTTGCTGCTCCAGCTCTGCCTGCTCCTCCTCTCCCATTATTTCCCAACTTTTCCCCTCACCTGCCTCTGAGCTGTGATCTCCCACAAACCACTCTTGTGACTCAATACTGTCTTCCTCTTCGTCCCCCCTGGAAGGGTCAGGATGGGGAGGCGGTCTCCACCACTCCTCCTTTGCCCAGCCCCTGACATCACCCCCCTCTCAAATGTCCTCCTCCTCTGCCCAGTCCCTGACAGAATGAGACTTAACACTAAGCCAGGGACTATGGTTTGTTTTACCCCAGCACTAGTGGAAAGAAGCAAAGTGGGTGCAATCAGCTCATTCTTTGTAAGCCATGGTTTATGGTTTACCATGATGTGCAAACGTGTGATAGGAGTTCTTGAGATCAGGACATTTGTTGATAGTGCAACTCTTCCTTTTCCAGTGAGTTTTTATACTTCATTAATAACTTTGATAGGAAGGTGCATCATCATCCATATACACAATGCCCTCCCAGCCCATCCCATACTCTGTTCTTCGCAGCACTGGAGTCTAGTCTGCAATTAATCACAGCAATCTCTCATGGTTGCATCACCTGTGATTGCCTGACCTTCATTCTAATGCTACCCTTAGTCTCTGTTTCATAGCACCTGCCTAGATTTTCCAGTGGCCCAAGTCCCCCTCAAATTACCTTTGCCTGAAGCCTCCCTGAAGCACACTCTGTTCACAGCTCCCAAAGCTCACGCAAAGCACATCCCTTTATGCAGGTAAACTAGCTTGCTCTCCTAAGTCAGCAAGTCCCTGTCCTCACTCCACTTCAGTCAGTGTTGTGCATACACTCCTCTTTTTTGTTGTTGTTGTTGTTTAGCTCTTTTTAATATCTGCCACCTCTGAGAACAATCTTATCCCCAGGCCTGTTCAGAGAAAATAAAGTGGATATGCTAATCAACTCCTGCTGAGCAAACACATTGCCCTTTTTGACCATCACAGGCACAAAATTCTCCCAAGAGAACAATGCAACCGAAAAGAAAGCGATAGGAGCAGAAAATTCGGGAGCCAGTTCTGCAGGGAAGATTTCAAAGTGGTGTGAATGTAGCTTCCCAGATCTCGGCTAATCTGACCCCATGTATTGGGGAGGTAACAAATAAGATGAAAATGGCACTTTTAGATCTTACATTCAGAATATTGTCAAGGTTCAATCTTTGTGCCCAGGCCATGGGAGTGATGTTCTAAGGAACCAGCATGGTCGCTTTGTTGTGGGATGTGGGGCTGAATTTTGGCTTCTTGGTTGCAGAAACTGTTTCTGGTTTTCAAGAAGCACAAACCTTTCCAGCATTCCACAGGGGATGAATAATAAGCAAGTTGGGTGATAGTTCATCTTGGCCTTTTGGCTAAGATCAAGTATAGTATCACTTGTCAAACTTTGCAACGGATCGCAGTGATGGCTATGGCAAATTCCAAAATGCGAAGTTCTCTGTTTTTGATATTGATAGATTTTATAGATCTATATTTGCAAGAGTACCATAGATCTAGAAAACACATTATATCTATCTATAGATTGTAAAGATCTACAGTCCCAATTAAGGATGTGATTTGAAATGTTATCCCATTTAGTTTTGTGTGAACTATCGAGCCCATTCTGCTTTGCGGCTCTGTTGTTTTTCATAATTTTGAAGCTCGCTCTTTCCTGCCTGCTTTGCCTGGGGAAAATTTCATAAGACTTTGAAGTATGTTTTGTAAAAAGAATTCCACCAATGTAACTGATAAGGTAGTGATGTAGAATTGAGGGAATGGATTACTTGCATGATATATGACTCTGAATACCAGTTGTTGAGGAACACAAACAGGAGTGGGCTTTCTGTAATTAAACCCCAGTTGTGATTTCCTCCATTTGATTGCTCCACTCTTCTCAACAGCAGAGGTGGGTTGAGGGCTTCAGCACTGCTGTGAGAAATTCCCCCTTTTTTCAGACAGAAGAACAACCCTGCTAGATAAAATCAAAGTCCTATGTTCCCTAGCACCCACTCTTTTCCACTCTAAAGTGAAACTAACATATAAGGATTTTTTTAAAAAAGAGAATAACAAATAGGACTGAGGAAATGGAGATTACTCGCACAATTAACCTAGCAGAACAGGATTTTAAAATAAAAACAAAAAGAGGCAAATTATTATTTTAAAAGTAAAATTTGGGGAAAGAAGCCCATGAACATATGCAGACTCTTGCACAGTGTACTTGCTTCAGGGATAGCTTAAAGTAGCAAAATACAAGATGTTTCATAAATAATTTTAAAATAAATGAACTCAAAATACACCCCTACTCCTAAGAGGACAAAAATCTATAGATTTCATAGTTCTACAGGTGAAGCAGGGTTGTGTCGGGGGGGGGGGGCTCTTTTGAGCCCCTCTGCCAGGGCCTGACCTGGCTGCCTGCTGGCGCCTTAGTAAATCATTAGATAATGTTGTGGAGCTTGGTCTCACAAACCAACTCTCTCACTGCATAATGGAGCCAAATGATAAAAAGCTTTGTGCCACTTTCTTTCTGTCTCTCTCAAATACAGAGGCAACAAGGAGCCGATCGATTCATTTTCAAGCCGGCTTTGTTTGTTATAAATAATCAATGTCCTATTAGATTGAAACCAAGGGACAGAATGGAAGGGCTATATCAGCGTCTTACCAGGATCAATGACCTGGCATGGTGCAGCATGGGTAATTCAATGACAATTTGGCTGAACACTGATATTGCTGCTTTGTGGGGTAAGCAATGTATGCCTTAGGTTTTAGTGGAAGCTGGTTGAATTCAACAGTGATGCATCCTGCTGCTTGTTTTCATTAAATAAAGAAAATGGTGGGCATGGTTTTATTGGGAGTATTAATAATGGAACTTTTGATGCAACATAAGTTATGTTGGTGTAACATGTACAGAAACTGGAAATTGGAATAGCTTTCCAGCATCTCTTGGGAAAGCATCCTCTGTATGTGCAAGATTTCACATTAGAATGAGCTCCAGACATTCAGGAAGAAGGAAGTTCTGCAGTCTCTCATCTGTAGCTTGCAGCGAGCCTTGTGTCTGAATATGATAATGATAGTGGAGGATTAACAGAGATTTGTTCAGCCTCTTTGGATGTAGCTGTGTTAGGGATTTGGAAACGGAGTCTACAAGACAATTCTCCAGGGAAATTGTAACAATAAAGTCATACACAATTTTACCAGTTATCGCTATGCGTACTTCATTTAAGATGGGGGAGGTTTCTTAAAAAGTACAATCTTGTAAAAACAGCCCTGGTTAAAAGGATGCACTAATATGTCAGTTCCATTTTCCCTCTGTTTCTCATTTTTCCAAACTTTGGTTAATCCATTTGTGTGTATATATAAATCATTCATGTGCATTTTTGTGTGCATTTCCCCTATCTTATGCATTTTTGTGCAAGTTTGCCTAGTAAACCCATTTTTGAAAACAATTCCCCCTTAACCAAATGTATGTTGTACCTTATTGTCACCAATATATGCATTTTGTGTGTGTGCTTTTCACTAATACACTTCTTTTCATTGTTTGGTTGGACAAATTCAGAGAAATGCATATTTCAAAGGAGAGCTGTGTTTAGATATTGGTTCAGGAAGTGAAAATTTTGTAAGTTCACATTAAAATGCAAATTATCCCCCCCCCGTCTGTGCCCAGTTGTGCCAAATTAGAAAACTCTAAAATCTAGATATCTTATGTAGTGAATTGGGTAGTAGCAACTATTCAGATGTTAAGTATCAGTCATACAAAAGAGAAAATGAGAGAATAATTATTGATTAGAACTAAGCCTGAGGCCAAGCCTGAAACAAAACATCGCAAAACATGTGGAATTGAAACAATCCCGTATTATTTTCCTGTTTAGATCTATTTCGACCTCCCTTTCTCATACACTCTGTAAAGCACCACCATTCCCCCATATTAATCCATCTTTCAACAGATATATTTTTTTAAAAGCCTGGATATGAGAAAGCATAAGGTTTAATAACAATGCATAGAATTGTAGAATTTTGCAGCCCATTTATTTTTGAATTTTTAAATATTTAACTATGAAAATGAAAAGTTAATGAAAAACACTGTGCCTGGCTTATCTCAAAGCCATGATCAATTAATGATTTCAGTTACCGTACTTCCAGAAAAAAGTTACTTCTGAAAGATCTGAACTTCATGTTCCTATCTTGAGAATGAACACATTTTATCCCTCCCCCATTGCATAGAGATGATTCAGAAAAAGGGATGCCAGCTGCTTTTTCTTTAGCGATTGGGTTTAATCTGCATCAAGTATAGGTGCAGTGCACATCTGTGAGTTTTGACAGTGAATGTGTAAATCATAGCTGTCAACGCTTCCTTTTTTAAAGGGGAATTCCCTTATTCCGAATAGGATTCCTTGCAAGAAAAGGGAAAAGGTGACAGCTATGGTGTAAATGCCTTTGTGTGAAAGTCCACACTGGAAAGTGTTCAACACTCTAGACCAAGAATGGGGAACTCAAGCTAGCCAGCAGGCTGGATTCCTAATTGCCTCACCAGTTGTAAAGGTAGCACACCTCCTTTCAAATTCTTTAGGCACCATCCTTTTTGAGTTTATCACAGGAAGTCCCTTGTCAGAAGCCTGGAAAGCCTACCTCTGATGATATCACTGGATGTTCTGCCTCCCAGTGAGTCCCACCCTAGAAGGGAAGATCTAGGAAATGGAAGTCATGTGACCCCTCTACAAGCATGTAATCGCTAATGGACCAAAAGGCTAAAGTTCTATTTCTTTAACTCAAAATAGGGTGCACGACTGGTCCTATAGAGTGTCATGAACTGGCAGGACAATGGGGAAGAGGAAGAGAAGGAAGAGGATCTCAGGAAGGGGTGTAGTTGGGACTGGGACATGCTGGGGCAGACTGGGGATGGGAAAGGTTAGTGTAGGAAGTACACATGAGGTGACGGAAGATAGCAAGGGGATGGAGGTCAATGTACAGTAACCAGAGCAGCAGGATCCATCACCAGAGCCAGAGGGATCCCTGTCTCCATGAATATGGTGGGCTCTGATGTGTAGGGAGCAGTGGGAGTGGTGCTCTAGGAGGCTGAGGCAGACAAGGGCCCTCAGTTCAGCTCCCTAGCTGGCCAGGTGGAGCTCGCTAGCTCTGGGAGGTGGTGTGTGATTCCTCAGCTGGAGCAGGTGAGGGTCATATGCCTCATCAAGCCCAGATGCTGCAATCAGCATGCAAAGTACAAGAGGGAAGCAGAGCTGAAGTGCTGTGTCTGCTCAACTGCCCATGTTGATGGAGCTTGACATAGATGCTTCTGGACTTCAATGGGACTGCGCTTCAGGTTTGACTCTGGACTACATCCTGACTGCTAGACTTAGGACATGGCTACTTGGGTTGACCCTGAACCTCATTTCCTGACCTTTGGACTTCGCTTGTGCGGACTGACCCTCAGACTTTGAACTTGTGACTTGGCACACTGACTTCCTGTCAGGTAAGCCAGGGGTTACATCACCTGCTGTTGCTGTGGTGGCAGCAACAGCTGTGGCATACTCCTTGGAGGTTGGATCTGCTGTCTCCTCAGCAACCCCCTCTACAACACTGGTCTCCTCCATCCTTTGTTCCTGGTGTAGATCTTCACTCAACCCTTCTTCCCTGGCCAGGGAGGCATCATTTCACAGTCCACCTCAGGTGCCAAAATGTTTTGGGATGTCCCCCGCCCCCCCAGTAGAGCATAAGTCTAACCAAGCCTAGCATATTGGAAGTGGTTATAGTGTTCCCCTTGTACACAAAGACTCCTTTCTCATCCCACAAAGGAACACTCTGGCTCTGCATCATTCTGTTTAACAGCACTCTTACATGATTCTTGTATCGAACAGGCAGACTGCCCAGTACTTTTTGAACAGTTGCATCAGAATCAGTTAGATCCGTCCTGTAAAAAAATTCCCTCCACCCCGGTATCAAGTGAATAGGTTGTAGCAGGAGGAGCTCCCTTTAATTGCTCTAGATAATGGCTGGGAACCAAATACATCTTTCCAGCATTTTCCATCACCCGTTAGTTAAAAGTCCAGATATCAGAGGGATGGCAAAACATAGTAATAGTGCAAGAACCCCTCCAGATGGTTTCATCAATTGCTTTGTACGTCTTAGTGATACTCTCTTGTTGCTCAGACTTTTAATAAGGCTATGCTTTTTTATTAATACATGCACCTGGTGAGGAGGACTTCAGCATATTGCCTTTTGAAGTGTTGAGGGATATTTCTGAGACTGCAGAAATCAGGTCACCTGATGCTGCACTTAAAATGGCTTTTCTCTGATGAGGAGGGGCCTTCATAAGAAGGTGTAAGAGGGGTAAGTTTCTCTTTATGTGGCTGGGAATGCTGCTTGGTAGGACAGATAGGCTCAAGAGAATACAAAGCGATTAAATCAGTACCTTTTGTAACCACTGTATTTTTCGCCCCATAGGGCGCACCAGCCCATAGGGCGCACCTAGTTTTTTGGGGGGGAAATAAAGAAAAAAAATCCCCCCAGGCGCTAGCCTGGGGCGGGGGAAGC